TCGCTACCAATTTTATCCTGAAAGTTCAAAACTGTCAATTTTTTGTTAAATCCATTTCGAAGTTCTAAGACTGTTCTGGTGTTCATAAGAGCCTTCACTTCAATCACCTTTAAGGCTGCGCTTTTTCACTCCATCCGCCAAATCTCTGGAATTTCCCAAACTCAACTCGTATGCGTATCATCGTGTCCAAGAAGTCACGCTCTTTCGAATGAGCCTACCTGCAGGCTCTTATATTGTCTGGCGGCCGAGCTACAAGCCTGCAAAGCGGTGCAACTCAGTGGTGAGGTGCAGATGGGGTCATGTGCACGCACTGTTAAGAATCATTTTCAGCAAGGAACTCACCAACACAGTCCGTTGCATAGGGCATGGCTAATAGCATCCATTTTATCCGAACAGCTTTGTTGGAATGTCTTGAAGAGGTTTCTATGTGAAGAATTAGAAGTTATTTTTTGAAAAAAAAGCAAATAAAACTCAAGCTTGGATTTTTTTTGAAAGTAATCACCGCCTGATTATTGTCCTCGATGAGTTCTACAATATAGTATGCTTATCTGTCCGGAAAACTTTTGTTTTTGTTCCAAGAAAAGACCTGAAAGAAAAATTTTGCGTTCGAAGAATTATTGTCCGCGACATTGTGACGCGGCCATTTTCGGACATTTCTCAGAAAAAGATTCTTACAATTTCCAGAATGCATGTTTTCCAGAAAGCGCAATGTCTGAGTTGTAGCTCTTGAAGAGCTCTATCACCTCATGCAATCCGATCATTTTTTCATCTTTGTTTTCCATCCGAAAATGGGCGATGAAAAAAGGAAGGCGGCTTGTCCGCAACTTTTTGGTGGTCACTGTATATAAAGCTGAATGTATGATTCATTTTTGAAATCGTGACGACGGCTGTGACTGCGGTCTTTGCGCAACAGGAGCATACACCCGTAAGAACAGGCATTACTTCAACGCTCAGCTCAGTCACTTCCAGTGTCTGAATACTATCATATGTAAGCAGAAAAACCATTTAAGTAGAGACAGAAACCAAGAAATGGGAGTGCATGGGTGTCGCGTGCGGTCGCGCCATCGTCACGATTTTTCGAATGCTCTATACAGGGCTTTACAACCTGAGTCTCCCACCCGCCCCGCTAGGACGCCACGCTTAGGTCCGCGCAGCGTTCGTGGCGCTGGCTGCGCGTCGACTGAAGCTTGGCGAAATCCGGGCGATACGCAGCAAACGCCGCGCTCGGCCTGAGCGAGGCGGCCGCGTTGGAGGAGCCGCGCAAGCGAAACTTGCGACTCTCAGGTTGAAAAGCCCTGTACCTATGTCTGTATGTAAGTCTGTATGTATGTCTGTACGTATGTACGGAACAGAAATTTTTACTTCTGGACCGATTTGGACCAAACTTGGCACACATACACTTCGGGACGGGGCGGGTGTCATAGGCTACTTTTCGTCATCGATCGATATCGATTTTATCGTATCGATTTGTTGCAAAGTTTGAGCTACAAGGCTGGGAGTTGGCATAGGGGGGAGGGAGTGAACATGCTGATTACGAACACAAAATTGGTTTCTGGAATTATCGATTACTTCTATCGATAAGCTACAGGGCTGGGAGTTGGCACAGGGGGGTAAGTGGGCATGCTGATTTCGTATACAACACAGGGAAAGGGAAATGAAGTGTAGAAGTAGGCATAGGGAACTGTACAGGGATAGGGATGGGACCCTTATTACAGTGTTTTGACAGGGCCGAGCGGAGCCGAGAAAGCAAGCTAGTTTTATATTAAAAAAATACTAGATTGCTTTGCGTGATCGGAAAGATTACTGGGAGTTTTTTGCCGCTCTTGGGACTCCCGTTTTGCCCGAAAAAGTTGGCGATTTTTTCATAAACAGCAAATCAAGCTTATAAATGCTTTTTTATGAGCTCCGCTCGGGATTGCGCAAAAACGATACTTTGCTTTTTACCTCCCAGCCCTCTCGAACAATATCCAGCCTGCTTCTTAAGCCGCCTATGCCATGCCCTGTCACTTTGCTGTCACTTTTCCGAGAGGAAGAGGAGTGCCGGAAATTTACTGCTCTTCTTGCTCTGTGTTACAAACAAAAAAATCACACCTTTGATATCCTTTGAGAAGAAATTCTCCGACAAAAACACGCATCTTTTCTGTTCGAATGCCATGCATTTCTCAGTAGAGAACGCCTAAGAAAAAAATGAGATGTGTCCCACGTCAAGGTCCTAATGAGCTCAGTGATAATGATTTCTGACTGGAAAAGGTTGTAGCTTTTCAAAAAGGTGGAGATATCTTCTAGTGACTTGCTCCACCTCCACCCCCTTAGTGGCTTGGCTTTTGTAGGTCACCAGAGGAATTTTATTGGAGCGGGAAAGCTTCGAGCACCAATTTTTGGTAAACTATTCATAGCTCTACATTTGGAATCGGCATAGGCCTTTCTCTTTTTCCTCCTCCTGTGAAGCGAAATATGAGGGATTTTATCTAGCTAGAAAATCAACTAGCCTATTTTCAAAAGTATAAGCCGCATCTTTTTCGAAATTTCAAGCGAGCTCACTCACTTCCCTGTGTTTCGGAAAGCGGTCGCGCGATTCTTTCAGGCAATACGCAACAAGGTCTAAGGCTATGGTCGAAATCTTTTAGCGTTTTGGGCTACTCGACTGGAGAAAAAACTTCCTGCGGTTTGCACGCTTGAATATAGGGTAAAGCAAACGCTGTTGCTGCAATGTTTGCTGATAATGCAGTCATGCTCTGACGAAAAAGAAGCGGAGCTGACATTTTTTTTTCAAACACATTTACTCCTAGCTCTGATTCTGCCTTGACTCCCTGTCTTACCTTCAAAACAAGAATGAGTCCATCCAGGTGCGGTACAGTTCAGAAGTCACGAATTCTCGCGAGGAGATGCCGCGCGAAGTCAAGCAGTACAAGAGCCAGCTCCCCTCAGTACTCCTGTCGCAATATTACTTACCAGTGCGTCACCTCTGCTTCGCAGAGGCTCGCACTGGCTCTACTATCTATGTGCCTTTCTCATTCTCGTAAAATGTAAATGTGGCTCTGGAACTCACCGCACCATGCTGAATACCACGAATAAAATGTAAACAACTACTCATTTAGAAAGCTTATTCACTTGAGATCGGTGATTTCGCGTGTTTTCCGCAGGAAGACAAACGCAAATTTGAATAGGTTTTTGAATTTGTCATGGCTTGGTAATTCTCATAAAGGCAACATTCACCGTGAGCTACATCTTTGTGCGAAAATCTTCTCAAATGCTTGGCTAGAACCTTGGCAAATTGACCATTTACGCAACCATTCTTTTTGGCGCCGTTTTCGCATGTAGTAACTTTCGACCACTTCTCGGGAATGTCCATCGGGCTTGCACCTTTGCTTACCAAATACATCCACGACTTCGCAAAAAGTGGATAAGGGCCCAATTTTGCGGGACAGAAGCCAGATGGATCCGTTTGGCGCGCAATTTCTAAGGGGTCCACTCAACGAATCTATTCCTGCTTTTGCATTTTGGACTTTCATGAAGGTTGCATGCGCTGTGCAAAATTTGGACTTAGAACGCTGGCTAGAACACGCTCTACGAATCTCGTAACAGACGGACACACAGACACACAAAAACACGTAAACAACCCTTAGCCCGTTATCATAAGGTCTTGATGCTCAGATTGTGGATTCAAACGAAACTCTGTGTTATCGAGCTTTCCACAACCTTCACTGCAAGCCTCCAAAAAGCAGAGGTGACACTGGCATTTTTATTCTCATACGGACCCGTTCAGCGTCATTAGTCGCCAGTGCGTCAGCTCTGCTTCGCAGAGGCTCGCACTGGTTCTACTCTATATGCCTTACTTATCCTCGCCTAATAATGGCTTTGAAACCCACCGCGCAATGCTGACTATCGCGAATAAAATGTAAACAACTATTCATTCTAAAAGCTTTATTATGTAAGATCGGTGATTTCGAGTGGATCTAACTTTTCGCAGAAGAACAAATGCAAGTTTGAATAGGTTTTCAAACTTTTTTTGGCTTGGTAGTCGCCATGAAGACAATAGTTACCGTAAGCTACATCTCTATGCAAAAATCTTTTCAAATGCTCAGGTAAATCCACGGCGGATTGACCATTTACGGGAACACTTCTTTTTGGCGTCGTTCTCGTGAAGTAGCAAACCTTTGGTCACTTTTTGGTCTAAAGTCCATGACTTACACATCAACCTGCTAAACACATCCACGGCTTTGCAAAAAGCGTTGATACGGACCCAATTTTGCGGGCCAGAAGCCAAGTGGACCCGTTTGGCGCGCAAATTCTGAGGAACCCATCCAGCGAATCCGTTCGTGCTTTTGCATGGTGGAGTTCTACGTTGGTAGCATGCGCTATGCAAAATTTGAGCTCTGGATGTTGGCTGGAACCCGCTGTATGAATTTCGTTACAGACAGACAGACAGACAGACACACACACACACACACAAAGTCACGTAAACACCCTTAGCCCCTTATTATAAGTTATGATGGCATGAAGGCATATATCTGCCCCCCCCCACACCTATTCTGCCACCGTGCCACTTTAAACCCGGAAAGTTTTGGTGGTTTACAAATTCGGGCGTGGCGTGCGGGTCAAAACGGCGGTCGTGGGCAGATGACTTCCTGACCCGTGACAGCCCCAAAAATGAAGGGAATCAGAGAAGTTGCTCCACCTATGGCAATTATGGGCGAGTGGCAAACTAATGGGTTCAACGCGCTAGGTGCATGCTCACAGAGGGCATTGAAAAATTCAAAGAAGCTTTTTGGGATAAATGATGGATGGGCTCCGCTCTCCTTTACCATTTATTTAAGAGTTCAGAGAGCCAGACATGTACGGCGAAGAGTAGTGAGGGGGCTCCAGAAGGTCAAAGTGCTTCCGTATATATTCCAAAAACCAAAGAGGATTTCGTAACAAGTTCTTGCCGAAACTCTCATTTTTTCTTTGCCTTCAATCATATTTTGTTCATCTTTAACAATCTGGCTCCATGTTTTACCCATTACAAAACATTTATTACTGGGAACGTGTTAAATCTTAACAGTGACTGGACTTCAACGGAGATCATCAAGTGTATATAACAACGATTCAGAAACAACAATATGCTGAATGATCATATGTTCATGGAGCATACTTCTGAAGTTTGTGAGTGAGCATTTGGAACACATAGTCAGTGCTAACAATATGGGAAATCACTAGTACTAGAAGTACCCCTCCGACTCCTACATGTGCCAACGTATGGGAAAGACCCGGCGTGGATCCGAAGACCTGACAAGGAACATGTTGTATATAAGGATAAAAGCGGAAGATAATACTTACCAAAAGTGTAATTAGCGTTGCCATAAGTGAGAAGAACAAGAAGACACATGTCGAAAACGTGGGCATTATGGTAGTAAACGAGGGGGTACGATCACCAAGGAAAGAGCTGATATGCCTCCAGCTAAAGCATGAATAGCTCACAAATAGGGAAGGAATTAAGATCACTATCACCTGTATCCTATTCGGAAAAGCATGTTGACGGCGTTTGCTATGATAAATCCAGAAGCATTCAGGTATGAACAGAGTATGAAGCTAAGGAAAAGATGAGCAAATGCAGATACAAACAGGAAACCTCCATGCGAAAATACCTATAAAGAATCGTTGATAAAATTTTCACCACAATGAAGCGACGCTTACTTGAGCGTTGTTCATACTAGCCATAGCAAAGCATTCTGTAATGCCATTGACAGCCATAACAGACAGATAAACGCAGTATAATGACAGCAGCACTGCGCCTAAAAAAGCAGGTGATGGGATGGACAACTCAAGACAATTCTTTACAGGCTTCACCTCCATTGTCGTACAGCAAGTGACCTCCATACAAAAACACCGCTAAGGGTGAATACGGTACACCAAATACGGTCACCACAATGCCAATAACGGATGCGGCATGTAGCGTAGTAGAAAAGTTGTCTATCAAAGACTCTTGAGAGTCCTAAAGACAAAAACTATATGCGAAAAAAAAACCTAAAAGAAACTGACTATGCTTTTGACAAAGGTCTTCGTATTTTTGTTGATAGTGTTTGAGAAGTACGCAAAGCACATCTCTTCCAATGGTGCTAGCACAATTCTAGCCACAAGGCTTCCGACCTTCTCCACAGCATCATATACAGCTAAACATTTACTTGATGAGTTTTCAGTTTATCATTATAAAGTCAAAAAGAACGGATTAAGTCAAGTTCACCTTGATCTTTCAATGATAGCAGCTGCGTAAAGGTCATGACATAAGCACTTCCATCTGTCATCAGCTGTTTCAATATTGAATGTGTAAATAGTGTTCCAAGCGCAGATAGTGCTTCAGGATCGAAGCCGTGTCTAAAATGGTTTTATGCGACACGGAGAAACACATGCTAATCTGACTTCAGTGGCGGTCCCGGATTTCGGTCCAGGGGGGGGGGGAGGCGCGGCAAAAGATTTTTCAAAATGAAGGTGCGTGTGTTAGCCACGCACTCCGAAAATTTTCGGGTGCTTCTCAAAATTTTTGCGGGCCCATGACCCCTAAAATCTAGATAGAGGAAAAATTTTTTTACAAAGCTATTCTCATTTTTGGAAAGTTCAAAAATTACTTTAATTGTTTACAAGAATAGACAAGTCACTTTCACATTTTTATGACCATGTAAGTAGATTTCAAAAAATTTCGCGACCTAATCTCGGGGGGAGGCCTCCCTCAGGTCCGCCACAGCTTGAGTTCAAGCCAGTTAGAAGTTTTCATTATTGTCAAAATGCCTACTCTGCTCATGCCGTTTCTAACTTTTTCGAGATGCTCAAAATTGCAAGGAATTCTGCAAGAATTAGCAGCAGAACAATCGGGCAAGATAGATATATACTTGTAAAAGCCAATGAAGATTTACTATCGTACCTCGGTTGAGGAAAGAAGCTTCCAAAGTTTGCAAATGACGACAATTCAGGCTTGGAACTTCGAGAGTAATGAAAAAATGCAATGTAGTGAAACATGAGATATACCACGGATGAGATCAGCTAGAAATACATTGTCACTTCTTTTCTTGCCATATCTGGCAACAACACCTAGAAAGAGGACAAACCTGAGCGTAAGCGAAGATGTAGAGGTGATGCATAGAGGTCGCGCTTATTAATAGTAGTACGAAAACCCGCTGCAGTGTTATCAACATACTCTGAGCAAGTGCAAAATGACCCGAAAGTGAGAATCTAAACAAACCGTAAAACTTTATCCAAAAATTATCATTTCACACATTCCTACCTCAGTGAGATGACAGCAAATGGTTCTGCTAGCGACTCGATAATTGCAGAAATGGGAAAAGAGATGAGAACAAACCAAGGTAAATCATGGCCAGATGAAAATACTGACCAGAAAAAAGTACAGACAACGCTCAAGGCTACACAAATCAAAGGACTGAAAGGGCAAGAAATTATTAATTTTGAGGTAAATGTCGATCCGACCTACCTGAGCCAAATAACATTGACAAAGCAAGGTATGGATGTGCGCAAGATATTCGCTTTACGCATAGGTTCACGAGTAAGAAACAATAAAGTTTGATATAACAGCATTAATCTGAAAGCGCAGATGTGAGAAGCCAGCTGTATCTCTGCCGATAGCGCCATCATTGTTCATTTGTGAACTATTTGCGTTCCATACAGCTTTTCAAGCTAATTATGCATATATACGCACATTTCCTACACTTGAAACTATATGAAGAAGTAAAATCGGAAAATTACCTTACGTTCACTAGACCAAGAACATCATTATCAACAACCCGTAAAAGGTACATATTAATGGCAAACGAGATAACTCGAGCGACGAGCTGGAAATTATCTTTTGAAAATAACTATAGACAATGTAACACTGACAATCTTAGCCTGAAGGGTGACCACGGTCAATGAATTACAAACCTGTATTCAGTGGAATACGTATAAAACACCGAAATCGTTACCTGACCGCTGAAGTTGACAGCAACGGACCGGCCAAGTGACGACATAATGACCTGAAATTACTCCTGAGCTACTTTTTTAACAAAATAACTGACTTGACATGATTGTGATAAACCTCTTTCCCTTCTCTAGCTTTCTTCTCTCAAACAGAATTACCAAATACACAGAACAAAGTCAAGCACTAACAACCAGTATACTGACAAAAGGGTGCACCTTGCTGGCACCAAGGTCTAACTGACTTCAAGAGATGTCATGACATCCGTTCGGTTGAAATGATATGAGAAAAAATGAAGTATGCCAAGCCAAGGACTCAGAGAGTGTAAATATACAATAATGCAGCTACCGCGATGCTTAGAGTTGGTCTTATCTCATATCCATTTTTCTCTTTGTGACTTGCAGTAAGAGGCTATTAGTGTGGTTGTAAACTAATGCGGCACGCATAAACTGAATGCGTCTTTTCTAAACAGGACAAACAAGGGAAGTGTCAAGTCGCAGTGGCCTTTTGATATGAGATAGGTATCATCTGAAGCAGCTCGAAACGCTAATTCCAAGACCGCCCTTCCAGCTGCTGAACGAATCTGGGTCGGGAGTCACTGAATTCAATTTGGGAAAGTTTTACAACGCCGAGAGCAGCCAAAACTATCAAAGTCCATACAGTAGGGCACAAACATTGTTGGAACAATTGAACAATGCTCAATGCTCTACTACTTCAATGTATGCTGTAATGCTTGAACAAGCAATCGAACAATTTTCATGATCAAAGGTAATGTAAACGATGTAGTAAAATTTGGTGATTAAAATGTTCATAACTCCGGACCCAGACTCTGCAGCTGAGAAAGGTTGTTTTGAAATCAATTTCAAGCTGCTTCAGACGACACCTCCCCATGCCAGAAGGCCCCTGCGACTTCTATCACTTTCTTGTGAGTTCCTATTTGACATACGTCAGAAAACTTCCAGACGTTCAAAGAAGCGTTTGTAAAATTATAAAGTTTCGCAGATTTCCTAGGTCGCTGCAATGGAAATCGATTACCTCGAGAACAGCATAGAAAAACTATTATCATTTTTCTGATGAGAGAAAGAATCTCACACCTTTTGATATAGGTATGTACTGATGGGCATTTTACACCGCTGAACTTATAGTATGTATCTGTACCTCGGGTTTTCCCCGCAACATGCAAAAGATGTAAAGGCTGCTGCATGACGAAGGCGCAGAAGCGGTATCAGATGAGGAGGCGCGAACGCGGCGCGCGCGTATCCTCACCGTGTAAATCCTGCGCCTCAGGTTGCGTTCATACTGATTACGAAATCCGGGAACAGTCCCAGCACAACGCTCAGTTCGAGCACTGTGCTGGAACTGTTCCCGGATTTCGTAATCAGTATGAACGCAGCCTCAAGCGCTCTGCGGCTAAGGTTGCGTTCATATTGATCCCGAAGTCAGTTCCAGCACAACGCTCAGTTTGAGCGCTGTGCTGGAACTGTTCCCGAACTTCGGAATCAGTATGAACACAGCCTTAAGGCAAGCGCCATACTTGATCCGCTTGATCCGCTTCAACATTGGTCAATACAGTGAACTGAGCAATAGTGAAGTGGATGAAGTGGATCAAGCGGATCAAGCCGTCTCGTTATTGGTCACTTCACTAAATCGACCAATGACGAAGCGGATCAAGTGGGTCAAGTGGATTAAGCGGATCAAGTATAGCGCGTGCCTAATAAAGCCGCGATCGCGCACAAAGGTAGTATTGCGCCTTCGTCATGCAGCAGCCTTTAATTTTCTGTATGAGGGAGCTATCGCAGAGAGACAGGGCGTTGGTGCGGACGCTGGCGACGTCTCTATCAGGCGCACTTAATTCATTTTACAGTCACCGTCTTTTTCAAACACAATATTTCTCAATCGACCGCAACTGCGTATCTACCTCTGTGCATGCGATTCGCCTACACCAACTTTTCTGTATGTAATCAGATTTTCTCGGCACGCTTTGCAAATAGTTCAAAACAACAACTATCATGTTACAGACTAAAATTTGTGGTCATTTAATCGTCTATTTACTATGTGGAATCGGGGAAGATTTTGTACGCGCAATTGGCCGGCGTTACAGGCGTAGCTAATTGTTCGCGCGCAAATCTTACCGCATTTTCTCAGCACCGCAAGCACACTCAAACGGAAAAATACTCGACTGTGACTCCACCGCCACCGCAGCCCTCTAGTGCTCAAATTGTGCAATCGCACAAAATTTCACTAATGAGGACTCCTGTGTCACGATTACAATGACAGGTGCATCGAAGTATTTGGAGGTGGGGAGATCATCCGAATAAAGACTTTAAACTCTTGTCTTGGACTTCGCTTAGAGAGAAGGGAAAATGTAGAGAATGCTAGAAGTTCCCGACTGAAAAGACATGGCGTGGGGTTGCGCGCACGGTAGCAATCGCCCATTCGAGTTCCAGGGGCGTAAGCGTTCAAAAGAAAAAGCATTTACAAAAGGATTCAAGAGCTTAAGCGTCGTAACTACTGTGTCCTAAGGCCTAAGGCATACCTCGCGCGATTCCGGTCGCTGCGCGATTTGGCACAACATTGACACTTCGTAATTCGTCCTTGATGCGCTGTCTTTGGTCAGAACTTGCTCCATTTGCAACAACTTAAACAAGCTACCGAAATATGCATCCGAGAAGCGCGCACGATAAATTTGTAGAAATCTGGCAAATCGCCAAGTCGCGTGAGGTATGCCTTAAGGGCCGGGCATACTTCACGCGATTCCAGTCGCGACGCGATTTGGCAGTATTCCAATTGTCCATAACTCACTGTAAGCACATTTTAAATGTACAAAAGATAGGGCATTTTATCAAACCATGTAAGTTATACACACTGTGTATGCGCAGTTTGCTAGTGTTGAATCTGAAGACTTCTGGCGAATTGCAAAATCGCGTCGCGACTGAAATCGCGTGAAGTATGCCCGACCCTTTAGGCCTAAGGCCTCGGACAGAGTTCACGCAATTTCATCGCCGCGCGATTCTTCGCACAAGACAAACAGTTACAAGTCCATTGAATTTCGATCATCTTGCATTTCGGTTGTGATAGCTTGTCACGATTGGTCGTTTGGAGGACTATCACAACCGAAATGCAAGATGATCAAAATGCAATGGAATTGTAACTGTTTGTCTTGATGGATGAATCGCGGCGATGAAATCACGTGAACTCTGCCCCAGGCCTAAGGCAGGGGACATACCTCACGCGATTTCAGTTGCCACGCGATCTGGCAATTTGCCATATGTCTTCAAATTCAATACTGGAAGATCTCAAATGCACAGCATGTATAACTTCCGTAGGTTGATAAAATGCTCCCTCTTCTGTACATTCAGATCGTAGGATGAGTTATGAACATCTGGAGTACTGCCAAATCGCGTGGCGACTGAAATCGCGTGAGGTATGCCCGAGGCCTAAAGCTTGCTTTTTGAAAGGACTAAAGGAAGGCATAATATTGATAGAAAGAGCTTGTAGTAGAAAACTTTGGACCACTTTGTAGGGCCTCACTTTCAGTTGGTCTTGCCCCAAGTGTTCCTGCTACACTTCGGCACAGGGGTACTTTCGAACAAATTCTTGAACTAGTTTTATAGGCCAGTGCATGGACAAAATGAAAACGGCGATCAACACGGTGAGCGCGATAAGCCACGTCACAAAGCCTGCAGCGGGGGGATGCCCCGTCTATCCCATTTTTTCCCAAAAATTGATTTTCGACTACATTAATCACTATCTATACGTACTCAATAAGACCTGACCTCGTCTCGCAGAGATGTCTGGTCGATGAGAGTCCAACCTTCTTGCACCCGCGTCTGTTGTCGTCCTGAGGCTGACGTTCAAGCAGCCATGGCGGTACACGTGGAACCACTTTCACTGCGTACGCGACGCCGTGCTGTGGCGCCGAATACGCAGCCGGCTACTCGTGGTTTTGCTGCTTGTGTGGCGGCATCGTCGTGTTCACTTCGGTGTTGTGCAAATACACGTTCGGTTTCTTCCCTCGGTCTAACTCATTGAGGTTCAGAAGACCAGCGGCTATCTCATTTGTGCTTATCTCGTCCCATTTCAGCCAAATAACAGAGAAAAAATCGTGACAAGACTGTCATTCCTCGAGTGATTGTTGTTATCGCTCATTCTGTTGATAGAGTTATGAACGAGAACCGTCTTACTTGGTTTTTCGTCATCGATTTCTCCCTATTGTTTCTTCCTACCACATCTTTAATTCTGATCTTCGTCATACAGCGACCTTCAAGCATTGTCAATATATTGATTGATTGACTATTTTACGATTGTTTGAGCACAGTCTGATGTGGAGCAAGTGTCACTCATATGATCCTGGCTCCATAATCTTGGCAGTACGAAACATTCAAAGCATCATTATTCCACGTTCTGAATTAGTACTATGATTAATGCAGATATTTCGAGTATCTTTTCAAACAAAATCGGTATGGGTGGCCATTGTAATAGATTCTTTCTAGAAGCTATTATGTGGACTGCTGAGCAGCCACCTAACCTCGCAAATATATCGACAAGTGCACTTTTATGTACTTGTTGCTGTCACGGTACTATCTTCCAAAATCAAAAATTGGTTCAGTTGAGATTCTAAAAATTGAGAATATGTAAATAAGAACAAAAAGGAGTCGCAAAAGGGGGTCAGAAATTGGGAGTGGTCTTCAGACCCACCCATTTAGTCATATAACCTCTTTTTCTGACAAAGATTATTGTGGCTCACCGCGATTCATATATGCAGTTTTAAGCTTTCTAGATCAACCTCCCAAAGTTTTTGATATGACCCAGTGCCGTGCCGCGGGGGGGGGCGGTCGCGAAATTTTTGAAAGTTACATTGATTACAAAATTGTGCAAGTGACTTCTTTATACTTGTAATTAATTAGAATAGTTTTCGAAAGTTTTGAAAAACCTTTTGGCCCTACAAAAAGTTTTTCGGGGCGTGGCTGACGCCACGCTCCCTTCTGGAATTTTGTGGTTAGGGTCTGTGAAAATTTTAGGAACCATACCAAAGTTTCGGAGTGCGCACCTTCATCAGAAAAGATTTTTTGTCCCCCCCCCCCCCGAAAGGAAATCCTGGGTACGCCACGGTATGACCCTCTATATTATTTTTGATTTGACACGTAGGATCATTCTATACTTCTTTCAGTGACAAATGAAAGTTCGCGCCTTCCAGCATTTCCCACCACCGCTGCCGTTTCCCACCCACATCGGTGTGCTTCCTGCTAGTTGTTTTTGTTAGCACTTTCTCTATTTCTTTCCATTCATCGCGGCAAACTCTCTACTTCCCTCTTTGTCAACCGCTTGTCTGTTTCCTTCGTTTTAATTCAACCGTCTGGAACCAATGTTGACTATAAAAAGCTTCCTATATGTTCCAGGGTTCTCCCGACAGACATTCACTATGTCGTGGATTTGGGACTGGTTTTCTAGCATGCTCAACTTTTTAGGTATGCTGGCATTCCTTTCGTTTTTTTTTCTTGAAGTACTTTGCACGTTTTCATCTCTTTGTGCAGGTAATATGAGACATTGTTAAACTTAGGGGACAAAGTAAAAAATCTAAGCTTCACATTGCTAGGCATGCATTGTTTTGCTTTCACGTCAGCATAAAATCGTACAAACAACAATCCTAATTGCCCTTAGTTAGAGAAAGTAAGTAAATCGATAAGGACTAAATAGACATTTACAATCTCCAAATCAACGACTTTTTTCAGGACTTAGTAAAAAGAATGGAAAGTTAGTGTTTCTCGGATTGGATAATGCTGGAAAAACAACTCTTCTTCACATGTTAAAAGATGACAGAATGGCCCAACATGTGCCAACATTGCATCCTAGTAAGTTTTTTATGCGATATTTATTCTCACGGTTTCGTGTAAGAGTACACTTATGTAAGAAATTCTGTTCATACTCAAAAGCTTTGGAAGGTCAGCAGTAGACTGTTATATTATTTCCATGCGTTTCATAGCCTCAGGTCAATAATTCTGGCTATGATGCTCGTCTTCATACAATGACATTTGCACTTTATATGTTCAACCAGTCAGTTCCTTATGCAGATCAGTCTTTGTACAAGCACATGTTGACGCGTTTACCTTGGGTTTTCAACATTAATTCCTTGGAATAACAACCATAGTTGTACCCTCAGGATAACCAATGCGTAAAGTGTATGTTCTGGGTCAGGGGAAATGGGGTCAATACAAACTTTTTCACTTGTCTGACGATGTGATGCTTGCATTGATTTTTTCTGATCTTAGATTCTGCTCATCATATTCTAGGTCTTAAAAGCATTCTGAAAAATACCTTTTTTCAAAATTTTATTTGTTATATGACTGCCTAGCGTTGAAGTTCATTCTTCTCTTACTCGCTATTTCGTCTCAACTGCTGTTTCGCGTGTAGCGAAAAAAAACTGAGGTGACGGGTCTGTCAGGTGACAAGTTTGCGCAAACCTGTCTATAGCTAGGAATCGACTGATCAGCTGTGCATCGTATACAGATGACGGGAAAACCGCTTCAAGTTCAGACTAATCGTACATTAGAATTATCCTCTCTGAAGTAGACTAGATCGGGCTTAGTGAAGGCCATTAGCGGACCGTGGAGAGGGGAAAGGATCGCATAATTTTAAATGTAGCTCATATGAAGAATTATAAAATTTTGAAAGTGACTTGTTTTGTGGAACTTAATTTCCAGTGTTTTTTTTCGAAAATGTGAGCTTTGTAAGAGACTCCCTTTTTATTTTCAAAAATAGGGGGCTCGGGTGTAGTCTGGCTCTTTGACTAAAAATTCTGGAACACAAGACCGCTGAAAACTGGGATACACAAAATTTTCCGAAAGGTGTCTGGCATGGCACTCCTCCCCCCCCCCCCCCAACAAAATCCTTGGGCTACTTCTAGCGAAGGTCTACCATTGCTGACGTAACTCTGTATAAGCAGCTCTGTACATGATCTACTCATGCGAAAGCAATCTAACATTCTACTCGCAGCATAACTGACCACACAACATTTTTCAGCATCGGAAGAGCTTACGCTAGGCGGTATCCGATTTACTACATTTGATCTCGGTGGTCACGCACAAGGTGAGCTTTTCTCTTCTGTTCTAACCTATATAGCTCTATTATTTACATCTATGTTGTTTGTAATGCATGAGAGTGTTCAGCTCGTCGTGTATGGAAAGACTATTTCCCCGCCGTAGATGCGGTTGTATTTCTTGTTGATTGCGCAGATATAGAGCGCATTCCGGAGAGCAGGACGGAGTTGGAATCTCTTATTAGAGACGAGCAGGTACATTTCTGATAAGACAAAACTTTTGCGACAGGAGACAATCTCGATAGAATGAATGCATGTTGTTTTTGTCCTGTGGTATAGAATGCCACTGATAATTGCAGGTTGCTGGAGCCCCGATTCTTATTCTCGGCAACAAAATCGACAAATCAACAGCTCTCAGCGAAGATCAACTCAAATGGCAACTTGGTATCCAGCATATGTGTACTGGAAAAGGTAGGTAGTTTCGCTACGTTCAGGTAGCTTTATTTGCTAGGAGAAGAGCAGCTGAAGACATGCAGATAATTCCGCGCATTTTCTTCTTTCACCAAAGTTATGGACTAGACTGAGTACGGTTAGGCGTAAAAAGCATTGATTATGCGGCTGGGCATATATCCGCCGAGATAATGAAGCACATATCTTAAATTCTGTGTAATTGTTATCTTGTGGTTTCTCAGGGTTTCGCTCTAGTAACAGGTCATTGGGTATGAACAAAAAACTCACGGAAGTAAATTTGTGTACATTGCACCAACTTCGCATTATCATATTTCCTCTTAAAAAACTGTGAGTAGGACAACTTATGCATAGATCTTCATACCGAGAAACATACCATTCAGTCTAGCAGTTTTCATGAGAGTTACTAGCTATTGCACGTTTTTTTGTGTTTTACGTAGTTCGTGGATTTCTGGCACACAATACATGCATGTGCAATACACATGACTATTTGAAGTCTTCCCATAATATTTGGAAAAAAACCAGCTTCTATAGCATTCGCTTTTATCTAATAAGTGTTCTGTCTTTTTTTTTCTGAACTACAGTCGCGATCATCATGAAAGATGCGTACGGAAAAATTGCGTAAACTAATGATTCCATTCATCTATATTGTTTTGATCTCGGAAGCTATTGGAGGTGTCTGTTTTCTATCTCCTGCTGCTTCTTTTCGCATAAGTTTTCTCCCACAGCTTTTATTCTTTTCTCTAATTGGTTGATCAAATTGGATCATAAGCGAAGGATACTTGGTTTGCGTGGCCTTTCGAAATGCAACGGACACCTTAAATGCACCTTGAAGCACTGATTTTGAATGTATTCTCGGTATCTGCTGTGCGCTCTTGCGAAAGATGTTAAACATCTTCTTGAACCAAATTTGCACTGGTTTAACAACAAGATTCAGCAATATCGTTGAAGTATTCACTTACGCGCCACAAAAGAGCGTCCAAATGGACAAAGTTTTACGTCGAGTTTAGGCGAATTTCGATACGCCCGAGTCTAAAAAGCCTGGATACTGACGATCTGACTGCCTAGATCTCTTGATCTCTGAGAAAAAGTTCATAAATCGCCCAAAAAGTCGCAGAGCAGATAATGAATATAAATCTAAGATCAGCCTTACAAAGATCTACTTGATTTACATCTCATTGCAAAAGGCCACGGTCACCTAGTGTCCTCCTTCCCTTCTTAAAACATGCCGCCACTAAATGGTAAAAGATGGTCCTAATCAAAGATTGATTTAGGTGAGGTGTCGCGCAATGATTTGACATCGCGACCGATGGAAGTATTCATGTGTTCGGTGTTGCGAAGACAAGGTTACGGCGAAGGTTTCCGCTGGCTCGCGCAGTACCTCGACTAAAATGCGATTCATTGCTAAGTGTGTGTTCACGTATATCATGTCATGTTAAATATATGATCATTCACAGTGTCGTTCAAATTTGTTTGCATGTATGCCACACAGGCCGTGCATGCACCATGCTCAGAGTCGCGTCTCTTGTCGTTCTATACTTCGTCTCTTCGCAATTTTCCCTATTGCGCCCTGTGATCGCCACCACCGTGTATAATATCATGTCCTCTTGTGGGCTTCCACCACCTCTCTTCCTCCGACTCACCTATTCTTCCAGCAATAGTTAACGTTTAGGTCTTACTTCACTATCCTTTCCCAAGCAATCTTCCGACGCGTCTTTTACAAAATTAGTTCACAACTTCCACATCCTCTCTATCTTCGTGCTAAACGTTGTTCTCTTACAACGTCTCATGAATGGGTGTTATTCCGCTTTTCTTTTGTTTTGATTTTTTGAAACTTGTAATCATATAGATTCTACCACCTTACGATTTTCAAAGAGCTCTTTGAAACAAGTCTGAAATAAAGTATTGATTTGGAAGTGAACACTTGTTATTTGGAGTCATCTTTTGAAAGATTTTAAAAACGTACCCAAGGTTTTTTTGTTGCTCAAAGTAACACTCACCGAATCAACAATGTATGGAACGTGAGAATTTCATTAATCTTTCACAACCAACAGTGTAAGGGTGACTCATACCATCACACTGGTGAAGAGGTGTAATATGCAAGAATGAGGTAAAAGATGATGCAGTCAAATGCACTACTTATTTGTCAAGGTTAACCTGACGAATGTAAGGCTTTCCGCTAGGCATTTCGACAATATTGACCTTCCCAAACAGTTCTTCAGCTTTAGGAGTAGGTACACTTGGCTGAACCATACAAGCATCCTTAGTATTCTTCCACCCCTCGGGAGTTGCAATCTGGAAGTAAAAAGATTCAAGCCGTTCTGGTCAGATTGTAGGAACACTCACGGGCATACGGTCAGACAATTGCATCGAGTCGATAACGCGAAGGATTTCGCTGAAAAGAGTCTTGTGTATTGAGAATTGGCAGGTAACAGTAGCGGAAATGCTTATCGGAGGCATAGATCTGCTCTACTGTCAACGTCACATTCTCCAATTGATATACCAACACTAAATAACGAGAGAGGACGTTATGTCACCGGTAGTCTCTAATTCCGCGCGGGCAACTAGTAGACGCTGCAATATTTCTCAAGCATGGTTCCTGGCAGATATCCGTACGGGGGAGCTTATTGGCAACACGATGTCTTCTACCCGTCTTTGATGAGTACACATTTTGCTCAAAATTGTCACTCTTGTTGAAGCTCTAAGAAATATTAGGCTGGTGCGTAAAATATATCAGTTTTTCTCACCCGCACAAATCCCGCAAAGTATAAATAAACAGATACTTCACGCAGATCCAATGCAAAATTTCTTCCTCTTTTTACTATTTGAAAGCACCGCCCATCCAGATGCGACTTCCTGGTTTTTGTCGTTTCGGGGCCTTACCATCTACTTGATTCCGAATATGAATTCGAAAATCCGCGAAAACCCCAACAATCCCCTTTTCGGAGAACCCACACGCCGGCTTTCCGGAACGGAATTGATGGCCGCGCACGGATGGGCTGGAATGGGGTGGGGGAACGAAAGCCGCCAGGTCCAGCCGTCTCCGCGGACAGCTGGTCCTGGAACGACATGCAACAACGCTGCGAAAGGACCAGCTGGCCGCGAAAGGCGGCTGGACCTGGCGGCTTTCGTTCCCCCACCCGCTGGAATGGATGGGGGAGGGGGGGGGGTGCCGTCTGGAGGTCCTCGTGCATCTTACTTATTCCGAAGCGATTTTCTCGCTTCCGAAGCGACATTTTGTGCCACGACTTGGGCATTGGCTTTATAGGGGGCCCCTATTATTATATGCTACCAAAAGCTCAAGACCCTCAACTGAGGGTGGACGGTGCCTTTAAGATCCATAGGTGACTCTTAAAGGCAGCGTCCAGGCTGATCTGGACCTATGGGGTTTTTACGTAGAAAGTACTTTTGGAGCCCTAACTAAGGCACTGCCCAAGCGGCAGCTCAAGTAGTGCTGTAATGGCTGAGATATCCCCCCTCGAAACTGGACCCCGCGACCGTATTTATGGATTCATGGCGCAGAGCGTGGATCCTGGCACGAAACTGCCATAAATCCATGCGAATACGTTCGGGGGCCAATTTTGAGAAGAATATCTCAGCCATTAGAGCACTACCTCAGCTGCCGCTTGGGCAGTGCCTTAGTTAGGCCCACAAAAGTACTTCCCACGTAAAAGCCCCATAGGTCCAGATCTGCCTGGACGCTGCCTTCAGTGAGGGCTGTGGGACAATGCCGGAGTTTGACCTTTTCTTTTTTCCATGTCAACTTTGGCTAATTACAGAATTTTTATTAACTTTTGCAGGAGTTTTGACAGCCAGCAGATAGAACGGACCTTGACAGATTAGAACTATTTATCTTTTTCCATCCTTCTGTTTCGAAAATCTATCAAAACAATTGCACAGAATAAAACACAGCAAAGCTTCAAAATACTAAGCTGTTGAAAATTGCTCATTACTATCATTAACCTTGGCAGGTAAATGAGCAACAATTGCTGCAAAATATGGAGATTTTGAAGCTTAGATTACCATCCGGGTGTCCCATGATTTTTTACCGTTTTTTCTTTTTCCCACACTAACTCGTATTCTTCTTGTTTATTCATTCGCTCGAAGTTCGTACTACATAGAGTTCGAAGACAAAATCTAAGAAGATCTAAATGTTCGAAAAGCCCTCTACAAACTTCTTATCTGCTCAGGCATGTATTCTCCACATGGGGTATTTATCTGTAGGTTTGTTAATTCGCACGGCTAGAAATGGAGAAAAATCGTTTTCATGTTTTCGCCAAAGCTGCGCCCACACATGTGATTCTACTGTATGTACCTTTAGAAATAAAATTATGATCGCTCTCCTAAGTAGTAGTTTTTGTGAGAAATCAGTCAGCGCAAAAAACCAACGACTTTGTTGAAGTTTTGGCCTATTTTGACATATATCTGTTACTCCAGTTCTAACCATAAATAAGCAAATATACTGGTAGGTAAGATGTAAAAGTATTTGCCTGAGCAAGCAAGACGTCCGTAAGGAATTTTTGAACGGAGATACGTATTCTTTTCTGTTTTTTTTTGAGCACTTCGATCTTCTTACTAGACTTAGACTTCGGCTTCAAACATTACGTAGAACAAACTTCAAGCGGATGGATGCTGCCTTTTAGAGCTTGCTTTGCTCTGTCGAGTGGTACCGCAAAACCTATTTGAGAAAGAATATGGGTTATTGCGGGAAAAAATGAAAAGGATGAAAAATTATGGGACACCCTGATACGCTGCGCGTTAGTACAAATGAGAAGAAAGGCGGCTTCGTCCGCACCGTATTTATCTTCGCGTTCAAACAGATTTGATTAGACCAAATATGGAATTTGGTCACTCAGACACATTAGGTTGGCCCGAAAGTTCTGTCGTTTCGTTTTCAAAAATTTTAACTTTGCGCTATTTCAACGGATTTGCTTTGTAATTTTATTAGAAAGAGCGGTTCTGCGGAGCTTTTGTTTCACATTGGGTGCGGAGATAAAAATTGAAAACTAAGACCATATGAGATCTGACCATTTTAAGTTAGGTCACCAAAAATCTGCAATGCTGCAGAAAAATCTGAAATTGTTAGTACATGTGTTTTTTGGCCTACTCTTTGCAGCTGTGAAGAGCTTGTGCTGTTTGGACGTTTTTGTAAGAAGTTATGAAATACTGAGTTTACTATGGAAAACGTCAAAATGACCTAATTTGTCAATTTTCGCGAAAATCATATCTTCTCACTGAGACGTCCAAATAGCACAAACTCTTCACAGTTGCAAAGAGCAGGCCAAAGAACATACAGGGCTTTACAACCTGAGTTTCCCACCCGCCCCGCTAGGACGCCACGCTTAGGTCCGCGCAGCGTTCGTGGCGCTGGCTGCGCGTCGACTGAAGCTTGGCGAAATCCGGGCGATACGCAGCAAACGCCGCGCGCGGTCTGAGCGAGGCGGCCGCGTTAGAGGAGCCGCGCAAGCGAAACTTGCGACTCTCAGGTTGAAAAGCCCTGTATGTACTAACGATTCCAGATTTTTCTGCAGCATTGCAGATTTTTGGTGACTTAACTTAAAATGGTCAAAGCTCATATGGTCTTAGTTTTTCATTTTTATCTCCGCACCCAATGTAAAACAGAAGCTCTGCAAAACAGCGTTTGAAAGCGAAATACTTATTCTTTCTAATAATTACAGGCAAGCAAATCCGTTGAAACGGCGCTACGGTCTAAATCTATGAACTTTCGCACCAAATTGCAGTGCTGAACACATGTCATAAACCTACTCTAAAAATCAATTTCCGTTCTTCTTGATGAACCCGTTGAAGTTTTGCTGTATTGTGATGTTATTACCATCGATTCTCAGTGCGGCTCCCATTCTCGGATTTCGAACGGAGAGAAACAAAAATAATTGAAAAACCTCACTGAAAGCTGGACCATTATTATAAATTCACAATCCACTTGCTTTTTTCGCTATTGCATTCTTCGGCTCATTTTTATTTTTGTACAGTTACGTTTAAGATATAAAACATTAACAATCCCTACGATCTGTCTCCTATCCAAAGAAAATGATTATTGCATGATTTTTGCTTTTAGAAGCATTAGTCAACTCGTTCCAACAAACGGGTGGTTTGAGCAGTTTTCAAGCTTCTCCATTTTGGATAAGAATCATGGAATCCGCTAAGCTTTTAAGTAAATAGGATAAAAAGTGCTTTTATAAAGACTGCTGATACTGAAGGACAAACTCCGATCTCGCCATAGATTTGTCACGCTTTTACACCACAAAACTCAATTTTCATATCTCGGAAAAGTCTGCAATGTGGCCCATACGTTGGCTGTACACCAATCAATATTGTAAATCAAGAAAAATTTTTGCGCCATGCATTCTGGTTCATCAGAGTTGTCATCTCTGCACAGTCATAGCCGACTTGGACCACCAGATCAAACGGGAAAACGCTCAAAACTCCAAAATCTTAGCGAATCTCAGCTATCCCAAAACCTGGCTTGGATGAGAGAGGGAAATGAAAGTTACGATTATGTCGAATCTACTGCTTGCAGAGAATTTCCGTAAAAAGTATTTTAGATCTAAAGCCGCATTCGCACTATGTATTACAAAAAATCTGAAAGTTAGCAGAGCTGCATCATCGTAACAACAGAGGAGTCAACCTCAGCATTTCATAAACAAAATAAGTCGAGTTTTGTGGTGTAAATGGTACGATGCTACGGAGGTTGGTTTTTGTCCTTCATGTAAGAGCGCCCTTCACCTCACCTCTCCAAAATTCTCAGCTGATTCCATGATATTATTTGAAATTAACAAGAGCCTAAGTACTGCTCAACCAGTTGTTTATTCAAAAAAGTTGACTTACATGCTTTCAAAGCAAATGCAATAGTAATTTTGCTTTAATGAGGTTGACAGGTCGTATGTGTTATGAATGTTTCATATTTTGGGATGTAACTGTACAAAAAATGAGAATCAAGGAATGCGATAGTGTTTGAGCCAGGTGATTTTATTACAGTGTCCAGGTTTCAGTATGGATTTTTCGAATTCTTCTACTTTGATCCGTTCAAACTCAACAGGATTGGAAGCCGTCTTGATAAATGATGGTAGGCTAACATGCGCACTACAGCAAAAATTCAGACAGGTTTGTCAACATAACATATTCTAATAGTGTCCAACACTGTAGCATTAATTGGGTTGTTGCAAAAATAATGTCCGTTTTGCAAATTTTCACTTTGGAAGCTATAACTTCGTTCATTCTTCATATTTTTGAATGCAGTATCCTCAGGAACAGCAAAACTTTCGTAATTTAGCGCGTACCTGCTCATACTGATATCGCAAACGGGAAGAAAAGCATGCGTCAAAAAACTGAAAGTTTTTTTTTAAACCTTGTCTTCAAGAACTTACAACTCCCTTCAAGTTTTGTTCGTATAGATGGCAATCAGCTTATTTTGTAACCGCAGGTCATGAGTTTACGTATGTATAGAAAAGACTCCAAAGAAGGAGTTCTGCGAAAAGTAAAGATAAAAATCCAACAAAGTCCATTTTTTTGAGCCTATTTGTTGCAGGCTTGTGAGTGCCAAATTATGAAAATTTGGAATTCTTCTCGCACTGAATGGCTAAATTTCTCTTCAGATTTTGTAGTTAAGGTGTGCTTATTTCAAGCTTACAGAAATGGGCGAAGCTTTGGCGATTGCCTTAATTATGAGAAATTTCTGACCCATAGAATGCAAGCAGCGAGTATCTATTTCAAGTCGTCAATTTCTCAGTCCAGTTATCTCCAAAAATCTACGTAAGCACGCAGTAGGTAAACAATCTTCATCTAATACATTTGCTATGTTTTCAGAAGAATTCGTTTATTTGCTCCTGAATTATGGTCAAGAATCTAAAAGATATGAGATTTCGATTTTGAGTGCGGGTGTGCAAAATGCTGGTGAATTTCTCACAGGTATAGCAGCTTAATTCTATCACCGTTAGAAAGTACATGAAGAGAGCTTTCTAACGATATGCAGATTCTATATCGTAAAAGGAAGTTTGATGGAAAAAAGTTGTTTGGAATATAAGCCTAGAAAAACGGACGATTTAAGCAACAACCTAATATTTTCGCGGCCATGTGAAAGCCGGTACACCACGAAAATTTTAAAAAGGATCCTGAAAATCCTTTGGAAGGTTTACGTCATGCCTTTCTTTGAAAATAATTTCTGTCCACCTTCCCCCCTCCCCTTCCCAGATCAATCTAGCGGGAGTTCTCCATTTTGTCTTGGCGTAGTGTGTTTGGCACCGCGTAGTTGAGTCATAAAAATCCTTTTGAACAAGTCTTGTGTCAAAGCGCAAACTCTAAATCTGTTTTTTTTTCACCAGCCCATGGAGTTTTAGAGGTGTTCTGAGAAATTCTCGACAAAAAATCAAATAATGGCGCTTACTCTACATTCGAGTAGATCTGATGGTAGATATAGTGCCCATGGTGCCGAAATCTCGCCATAACATTTGCGCGTGGACAAATACGCCTAAAATGCTGGCATTTTGCGCGCGCAACTTGCCGGTAATTCAGGCGCAAGCATTTGTTCACGCGCAAATCTTACTGCAAAAATCTCGGCATCGCAAGTGCTCTATAATTACCGTCAGATCTACCCGACCGCTAATAGCTCTACAGCGGCGTTTAAACCAGCTCCGACTGCCGCACTACGGCTCTATAAGGGTGTTTTTGTAACTCCCAGGCATTTCGCTCTTACTGTCCTGCCATCTTTGAGGATTGAAAAACCATGCTCACTCAAAGTTCCTTCCGGACGTGGCAGGGTAAAGAATCAGAGCGCGAAGCTTTTTGAGTGGATCTATTATGAATACAGCACGTGCGGTCACTGGCATTCCCTTGCTATCCTTCTCGGCAGGGTCAAGCATTCCCAGCTCGACTGCCAACTTGCGATCTTCATCAGCAATGATGGGGAAAGGAAAACCGTCTCCCTGGAAGATTTGATAAACTTGTCTCCCATACCCGCAGTAAACGTCTGTTACCTTGTTGGTAACGTTGGGATCTTTAGCGTAGGCAACAATATCTTCGATCCACTGACGATGAGATTCAGCCGAATCGCAGCTCAGAGCAATCATCTTCACGTTTCGAACTTGAAATTCGTGTGCCAGCTGAGCAGCACGAGCCAGTTCAGTTGTGCAGACCGGAGTGAAGTCGGCGGGGTGCGAAAACAATATGGCCCAGCTAAATGAAATGATTAGAAACACGCCAGAGATCTCGAAGCCCAACCTTTCACCAATCCAATCATGGAAATTGTCGATCTTGCCTAGATTTGTGGTAGCGGAAAAAGCAGGGATCGTATCTCCAAGTTTCATTTCGTAGTCCTAAACACCGAACCATAGACAAACGGCAGGAGGTGGTTCGAAAATGACAAAATGTAAGTATTCATTCTCTGATTAACACGAGAGGAGAGATAGTGCATTGCGTGTGTCTGATTAACAAGTTCAGAGTGGCAATAGTATCTTTGGGCGCGAACGGGGCTCAAATGCAGCGTCTAGGCAAATCTGGACATATGAGGTTCTCACTTAGATAGTAAATTTGGGGTCCTAGCTAAGCTACTGCCCAACCGACAGCTTAGATGGACTAACGGCTGAGATATTCGCCTCGAAAGTGGATCCCGGGATCGTATTTCGCATGGATTCATGGCGCAACCCACGGGTCCTCGCGCGAAATTGATAGGTTGCGCCATGAACCCGTGCGAAATACGATCCCGGGGTCCAGTTTCGAGGCGGATATCTCAGCCGTTAGTGAACTGTCTGAGCTGCCGGTTGGGCAGTAACTTAGTTAGGATCAGGTCAGCTATCATATCATGCGTGCTCAAAACCTCGCGCTCGCAGGCTTTAGTTTGCGCTGTTTGTGCGCGCGCGGAGCGTAGATGGAAAGATTGACGAGATTTGGGAGCAAGGCTCGGCGCAGATGGCTTATAAGCAAGTTGGATATCGTTTTTGGGGCAAAAAGCAAAGGGAATTTCGTTTTGTGGTCGAAAGCCCGAAGAAAACACAGGTTACATTTGTTAATAATGTTGATAATCCAAATCTGACCCGTAATACGGATGCCTTTCTGTCTGACCGCCAACTGGATAGAGTGTCTGCTTTAACCGCAAGGCTTACGTGAGCGGCATTCCGAAATTACACAACATTGCCCCTCTCCCCCAGCTTTGTTCATGGCTGGAATCGTACTGATCCGGAAGTTCCGTAGATCCAATACAGTTCTCGAACTGTGCCGGGGCTGTGCTGTATACGCCGTAGCCGACCGCTTGCGGTTTTGAGTGGGAGTTAGAGATTTCCAAAAGTTCCTAGCCTTCTCTCAGACAAAGCATAGAAAGCTTTCTATGACAGATGAAGAGGTCTGAACAAAAATAACGAAGAGAGAATGGACGAGCGAGCGAAGACACATCTTCCACGCAGCACAGAGACACAATTCCAAGCAGTTCTGAACTAGGCTGGACTACTCCGGAACGTATCTCTTTCACAGGAATTGTCCGTTCTTTACACGTCACTTATAGATATGTTGTATTACAAACGAGGAAGTGTCAGAAAAGTATGTCACTGTCAGTCTCCTAATTCAAATGTTCAAGTTCTCCTAACATTGAAAACTTGGTAAACAAGCACTTGACAAGGGTTAGTAGGGCAAAGATCAGTTTGAAGGCGAGACTAAGACAGCAAAAACTGTGTGTGCGCACGTGGAACGCATAAGACGGGTTTTTGTTGCGGTGTGTTCGTTCCTTCCTAGTCGCCCTTCGGGAGAACTTTCCGTCATTGTTCAAATTTACCCAACCAAAGATTCCTCATAATATTTCAGGCATGCTCTCAGTACTTTCGAAGCAGAGCTCCGGAAAAGTAGTACGAATTGCGTGTAGGGCTTCCACTGGATTGGGGAGTCAAAACAGAGAATATAGCTGGAATAATGGCTCGCATGATAAACAAAATGGTAAGCGGTTTCCATGGTATTTTTGAACATCAACAATTAGTTTTTTTGATAACTAAGTCCTATTCATCTGCGTCAAAAAGTGAAAGGCGATATCTTTTGAACAAGACAAGATGAAATTCAACTTGTTGAGAATACAACAGATTCCGTAACAGCAAAGCATTGAAAAAACATGATAGTGATCGTAGGCAGTAAAAACAGGCAACGATGCGAATGAGGGAGGTTGGGCGCTGACAGGCATTTGCACTTTCGTGTGAGCATTGCTCATTTTGAATGCTCAAGTGTTTTTATTCGTATTTTGTTCACTTTCTCAGTGTCTGACGAATCTCTGATCAAAATATGCATACATTGTTGGCAGTAGTTGACATTTTAAAGGTCGAAGTTTTCAGTTTATCGCTTATCATTAGATAAGCATGAACACTGCCAAAATTGCAAGCTGTTCCTTGTCATCTGAAATAGACTAAAAAGGAAAGGAGAAAAAACAAAAAAACTTCTGTGAAGTCCTTTTAGGTATACGTTGGATTAGTTCGGATTGCTTGTGCAATGGTTTCTGCGTTGATAAACTCGATCCACTGCCTCCGTTTTTCGCATCCGTAGTTATTATCCTCTTTTCTAGGATGGCGATTTCTCGGTTCGATAGCTGTGGCAGCTTCTTCTTGTGCTGTCGGCTACCTAGCAGTGGACAAATTCCGGCTACGTATTGCCCATGCTGATGCTCCAGCAAAGGAGGAGAAGCTATCACCACCACCTCGAAAAGATCTGCCTACATTCAAAAAGGAAGAAGTGAAAAAGCATGGAAAGAAAGCGGATAGAATATGGGTGACTTATAAAACGGTAAGCAGTGGAAATATGGTTCTGCATTATTTCGCTTTTCAGAATAAGTTTGGCTAGCGGCTTTCTTTTGCCCTCATTTGCATTTTTTTCTTCGCTATAGGTCGTCCTTTTAGGGAGTGTATGATGTAACAAATTTTATTACGTCGCATCCTGGTGGAGACAAACTGCTACTTGCCGCTGGCGGCTCGGTGGAACCATACTGGACTCTCTATCAGCAACACAAAAATGAAACGGTAATACAGGAGATTACTTTACCCTCTTTTCTTTGACTATTTTTCGTAGTCAAGGTTATGGAAATTCTGGAGGAACTCCGTATTGGTAATTTAGACCCCAGTGAGGTAGAAGAGATCAAGGAAGTGAGTTTATAGATTCCACCTTTCTCCGTCTTTGTATGTTATCTTCCCACTCGGAATATGTTAAGTCAATTGTATATGCTCTGTATATCTGTCGTGATATGTCTTTTCGAACCCTAGAGCGATGCTTCTGATCCATATGCATCAGACCCGGAGCGGCATCCAGCCTTGATTGTCGACCAACAACGTCCTTTCAACGCGGAAACTCCTCCATCTCTACTTATGGATCATTTTCGAACCCCGAATGAACTATTCTTCGTTCGAAATCATATGCCTGTGCCAAAGGTTGTAAGTTTACTTCCTCCATACGTTAAGTGTCATGTCTAGTCATTCCTTTTGAAGTTAGTTTCCTTATGGTGTAAACAAATATACCTTTTCTCGGACAGTACATCGTTTTTCAGATTGACATCAAGAAACATAGGTTGAAAGTTGAAGGCTTGGGAGTAAAACGCCCCCTAAACCTCTCGGTCGAAGAACTGAAGACTAAGTATGAACCTGTTTCGATCACGGCAGTCGTGCAGTGTTCTGGTAATCGTCGAGCAAACATGAATGAGTGAGTTTTTTGTTTTTTTTTTCTGCCTTTTGAACTGTTTCTTTGCTAAATGAGTCTAAATAAACTTCTTTTGTTCTCTGGCTTCGTTTTTTTTTCAGAATTTTTTTTTGCATTCTCAGTCATCACTGCAAACCAGTTGCAACGTTTTCCACGCTAATTTTTTTTAGCTATAAAAAAGTGCAAGGGCTACTATGGGCTGAAACTGCTATAAGCAATGCGGAGTGGACAGGTGTTCGCTTACGAGTGCGTTTTGAATGTCTTTCATGGCAGTACCTCATTTTGCTTCTTTTCATCTCAGGATCTATTGATTCAAGCAGGAGTAAATCCAAACGATTCAAGAATAAAGCATGTTCATTTGGAAGGTGCTGACACAGACGGCGAAGGTAGGATGATATGCATTGAGACATCAGGTTGCATAGAAAGCTTGCAGGTCAGTGCTTTGGAGCTTCGATTACTTTCGAAAAAGCAATGAGCCCCGAAACTATCGTCGTATATAGCATGAATGGTGAAGATCTCCCTCGAGATCATGGCTACCCCTTAAGAATTATCGCGCCTGGTAAGTCCAAATCTTTGGTTTAAAGTATCTCTACTTACATGAGACAATGTTTTAAAGCACGATCTGTAGCCACTTTCTAGTTGAGATGAATAAGGACAGCTTCTTTCTTTGTCACGTATCTGTGTTTTTTTGTCGATTACATTTTCTTTTTGCTCAAATGGTGGGACTTCGCAATGAAGTTTTTGCCATAAGTCCCTGACTCCAATTCTGTGCTCACCCTTCCGATCTGTGAAGACGCTGTTTAGGCATTGTTGGAGCTAGACAAGTCAAATGGCTTAAGGCCATACGACTCAGTGATGTTGAAAGTCCCAGTCACTGGCAGCAGAAAGATTACAGGTTACAATCTATAATTTGTAATGACATTTCTATTCTCTTCTTCGTCGCTTTTTTTTCGGTTCGGTTGAAGGGAAGTCAATAGATTGCAGAGTTTTTCCTACAAGCGTGGGACTACACGATAAACTGGACTGGACTACCGTGCATTCTATCCAAGAATACCCTGTGCAATCTGCTATTTGCATACCAGCACCTGAGTCGAAAGTTGAGAGAGGTAAGAAAAGATCCTCTCACTATTCTTCGTTGGCCTACCCGCAAAATAAATCACTCTCAAGTTTTCTATAGAAAGTTTCGTTAATAGAGGTTTGCCAAGTTCCACGAATGATGATCGTTATCATCATTTTTCAGTCAAAGGTGAAGTTGATGTGGAAGGGTATGCCTGGAGTGGTGGAGGCCGTGGTATTATTCGAGTTGAGGTGAGCGGTGATGGAGGCAAAACGTGGCAGACCGCAGAGCTGGAACAAGATGAGAAGCAAGACCTCGTGAGTCCTTACAGCCAAGATCAAATTATTTTCTTTCGCGAAAAACTTCAGCGTTAGAATCACCTTATAGAATCACATGTGGGCTTGGACATTTTTCCGCACCAGCATCAAAATTCCTGAAGGAGCAAAGAAAATGGATCTCGTAGTGAAAGCTACTGATCGGTAAGCCCCTTCTCATTTATTGCCACTATTTTATGTTTTGAAGTTTTTATAGTGTTTGATCAATATGTGAAACACTGTAGAAAACACCACTTTTCTACCGTTTACTTTAGTGCTTATAACACGCAGCCCGAAACCTCTGTTGGAATATGGAATGTCAGAGGATTGATAAATAATGCTTGGCATAGAGTCAGTGTGGAAGTAGTGGACTAAACTGTAAGAAGTATCTGCTGATGGAAAAATTTCATTTTTCGTCAAAGCGTAGTCGCTCGGAGACTACCTCGACGTGCTTGCTCATTTTTTCACCTTATTTCTCATATGCATTTCTATTCCTGGTGAAACGGAATTCACTGACTTCAGAAGTATACTTATAATTGCTTGTTCTATATATTGGTGCCGCTTGTAATTTCTAGATGTGCCTACCTTCATAAGCTGTGATAGTTGTAACTCTTGCCAAATCAACTTTTGACTGTATTGCTGCTTTCTTCACCTAATATAACAGTACTCCACTTGGGTAAGTTATTTGATGTGCTCAGTTTTGCAATCATACCTTGAAATATTTATCTTCTCATACTTTGTATGACTCAATGAACACCTTCGTAAGCCTCGTATGAATGATAAAAAGAAAAAAAAAACGCTACTGTGACTCTCTCAGAAACTTGACATAGCCGTTTTTAGTCTTTAATATACAAGGAGTCATTTATTTTATAGGATACCTCAAAACAACACTTGAGGGTTACTGTTATTTTTTCCATGGCTAATGGTACACTTGTCCATATAGTCTTTCTGTGCTAGGAGACTATAATATGCGTTAAACGATTATGCGAGCAATCATGTAGGCAAGATTTTCTCCGTAAGAGTAGCTACTCTACACACATGTAAGAATCCATTTTCCACTGTATGGGCTGTCCGCTCAGGGCGTGTGCGCCGTATTCCTCTTTCCTCGTGCATCCTCGCCGCTGGTTTTTTCTCATTTTTTCCATTACGCAAAAGCAATCACCACCAATAAGATTACTGTAGTCCACGGGATTGGAATATTGTGCTTACCTAAAATCGAGGTTTCTTGACTCATCATTATTGTACGGCATTTTTGGCATTATTTCTGTTACAAGCGAAGTATCTGACCGTTTGTCACGCTTCGCAAGGAAATTAATTTTCCACTGAAGGGGTGAAACAGTGGCAATCGCATAATCTGATTCATCTACCGTACACCCGTAGTTCCCACGAGCTCGGCGTTGAGCGGAAAAGATCGTGCTCAGCTGACCAGAAATTGTGATTTTGGCCGGCCACACTTTTAGCTATCACGACAGCACAAATAAAGGATGAAATCAGTTGAGGAACATTTTCATTTTATTGGGTTGTAACAGAATTAATGCAGGTTTTGGGTTTTGAGTTCAAATTATTATAGCTTTTTACACAAATAGTCTTTTCGTGTGCAATAAAGATTGTTGTAATCAGCAAATTTGACAACTCATTGTGCATTATTATGTTGTTGTAGCTTCAGCGAGAAAAATCTCATGGCCCGAATATTGTCAGGATTTTTTGAAAAACTTTCACTTTGACGAACTCTTCCAAATGCAGTAAAGTAGCGCAGATACTACTCATTGCATAGCCTATAGATGTTTGTGAAGAGCCGTTGAACTGGGGATTTATGAAGAATGTTTCGCACGAGGATATTTGAAAAAATTGGAAAGTACCCATTTTTTAAATTTACCTGAGGAGGTGAAGAATGGTTTTTTTGGAACTAACGATTTTTTGGAGCAAAGGAAGAAGGTTCCCGGTTTTTTCAGTGATAAGTGTCCTAAGCCCATTCTTCCTATATACTGCGGAAGCTCCGCAGTAGCTTGCGCTGAGATTTTTAATAGGGCAGACGGAGGACCGCAGCGACCGTTAAGTTTTGCTGTAGAATTTCTCGGCTCAGAAACTTTTAGGAAACATGATTATTATACATTTTGTAACTTACCTTACTCAAAAATGTGCAAATTTGCAGAAAATTCCGAGTTTGTGGTGGTTAGAGCCAAGTATATCGAAAAGGAATTTCAAGTTTTGATCTTTTAACACCGGCACAGAATTTCTAAACAAATCCGCTCATTGAAGCGAAAGAATGCATAAGAAATTAGAAGAAAAGAGCTTCCACATGATACGCAAAACTCTAGGAATATGGTTTCCGCTCTGAGCCAGCATTTTAAAAAGGCGCGCGAAAAACCTGCATTAGTTCTGTTTCCTTCATAATACTTGTATAATTAGAAAATTCCCTGCCGCTCTAATTTTCCGACATTTTTCCAAAATTTATCTCTCGCACGCACATCAAACCATGATCTACGTAGGCAAGCACAGCGGTGGCCGTAAACTACAGTTTATCAGAAGTGCGACAATCGTCACAAAGAGCTAAATCGGGGCTGAGTTATCTAGAGCGCTTCAGTGTGACGATAGCACCTATCAGCATTGTATCAGCCAAGGTGACAATTTGATAAGTACGATACTGCTTGTAAGCTTTGCCTCGAAACTGAATTTTCTTTTGTTGCCGAAAGCACAAGTGATCATGTCTAGAAGATGAGAGATCAAATTTTCTAGAAAGCACAGCGGAAGTGAAGCGAAAATGCCTATGAGTCGTGAGACTAAAGAGCAACGATGGCAAAAAAATGTCGACGAAAATCGTTATTTCGCTCAAAGGGAGTGCCCCGACAAAACCTCGATTTGCACGAAAATGGCGCAAAGAAGCTTTTTTCGAAGCTCTCCATTCCCGCACTCGCTGCAATTACGTTTAAGTGGGCGGGGTCCGGAACGTAGGGGCGGGGTCCGGAACGTAGGGGCGGGGTCTTAAGATTTCCAAAATGGATTTCAGGCTATCCAGACGCGCTTTTTCACTCCAAACTTCACTGATAGATTATTGGTTGGGGGGGGGGGGGCTGGGGCTGCCACTGCAATCCTTCAAAACTCTCATCACTTTGCCGGGACGCTCCTTCTAGTCTTCACTCGAAGACCTTTTCACAAGTCCACTATTTTCAGTATTTGAATAATGAGAAAACTTTTTTCGCTGATACAAATCTGCACTAATTCAAGGATATTCGAGATTTTGGGTCCCTCTGAGAGCTCTAGCGTGACTTTTTCGTTTCATTTTCTTATGAAATATTAGCGATGCAGATAAGATAAGAATAGACACAGCCACTAGCGCTTAGGAAGGGTTTCCGATTACTCTGTATAAAATTATAAAATGAGTAACTGGAAAAATTTTCTCGTTGGAAAGGACCCTTGAGTTTATACAGTTCAAATTTGCCGGAGAAAAGAGTATTGCAGTTGAATGGCTACCTTCATGAACTCGAGAAATGACTCATATAGACTTAACTTGAATATATTCAAAAGTATCAACTGCACAGAAGAGAGTACTTTGCAGACCTTGTAGTTTTTATTCCCTACTAGCTGGCTTACCCGGCTCCGCTCGGCCCTGCCAAAAGATTATGATAAAGGTCCCATCCCTAACCCTGTACATCCTTTCCCTGTGCCCACTTCTATATGCCAATTCCCTAGTCCCACTGTGTTAGCGGTCAGTCAGCATGCTCACCTACCCCCTGCTCACCAACTCCCAGCCCCGTAGCTCAAACTTTGCAAAAAATCGATAATATCGATAAAGGTAATCGATAAATCCAAAAATCAATATTGTAATCGTAATCAGCGTGCTCACATACCCCCATGGGCCAACTTACATCCCCGTATGAACTTTGCAAAAAATCGATAAGAAGCGATAAACGATATCGATCGATAACGAAAAGTAGCCTACGACACGCTCTCCGCCCCGAAGTATATGTGTGCCAAGTTTGGTCCAAATCGGTCCAGAAATAGGTGCTGTGTGTACGTATGTGCTATTCCGCACATACGTACACACAAACATACATACAGACATTCACTTCGTACATAAAATTGAAGAAAAAATACGCACCGCAAACAGTTCGCTAACAATAGCGCTACAGTTCCTATTTACAACGCATCAGTTGCAGCGCACCTTGATTCCGCTAGCTTTTGTGCGTTTTCTAAAGTTTTCAAGGTAAGTTACAGGTCTATTGATAGGTTCTCTAATGATTTTTTTTTGACCTAAAGAGTAATCTGTTTACAATCTTTTGGATAATTAGAACTTATTATTTGGTGAGCGAAGCACACTCTGCGAGAATTCTTTCAGATATCCCGTGGATATCCACGTAAAGTCTGAGGGCATATTCTGAAAGCATTTTTTTTGCAGAGGAAATCGTATCTTGGCCCAAAACCCTATGGTTCTGGATTTTTCAGTGGCTCATTCATTGAGGAGTAGGAATTTACCTCTCCCCCCCCCCTCTTGCACAGGTGCCCTGGTCTTCAATAAATAGATGAGAAGTCTAGGTACAATTTCAATTATGATTGAAGGGTAATATTAGGTTTTTATACAAGTTTTATTGCACTTTATTCGTCTTTTTCTCGGAAACCTTAGCAATCTCAGCGAGGTCTCATTTTTTGCTTATAAGGTGGTAAAACACTCTCTGAGCTAGATAGAACATCCACTCTCCATGATCTAACCTTCAGTCGAAATCGTATTGATGAAAATAATAGCCCAGATTTTGAATCATGGTTATTGTGGTAGTCAAATTGGAGCTTCTTGCCTTTTACAATCGATTTCTACGTTCAAAATGTACAGGGATCAGTAGACGTCATTCGCAAAGCAAAGTTTTTTGATCTCAATATCAATGAGAAATTGATTTGAAGCGGCCATTGGCTGCGAGTGTGCGTCAAAGTTGGTTCATGATAGTTTTGTGTGTTGCATGTTGCTTTTTGTTCGGTCTAAGTTCTTCCTTGCTTTATAAGAGTTTGCTATCTCAAGTATTTTTCTACATTCCCTAACTTTGTTCAAATGCCGTGGTGTCGTGTTCTCAGTTCAATCACTCATTAGGTTCCACCAAAATTTTTTATCGTTTATTTTGAGAATAGACCTAAATTTTGAAGAAGAAAGACCAAGAGAATGCATTGCTTCCTCTCTTTTGACTGTGCATAAAAAATCATTGACTAGCCTCCAAATGATGACAGAAATATGCCGATTTATTATTTTTAGCTTTACTCAACTTTAATCAAATCTTATGATATCGAATTTCGCGAAATGAAACTATTGTTAGACTTGAGCATATGCTTCGCGGAAAATCGGACAGGAATTTCTTAACGGAATTTAGAGATGTAGGGGCTATATATCGCCGAAAGTGGGAGGTCCCACTAGACATTTGCAACAAATACACATTCCAATACATGCACAGGCTGTGTCTCATGCGTTGTCCTCGCGGGACCCTCCCACTTTCGGCGACATGTAGTCCTTTACACAATTTAAAGTTTTTTTGCAAATAAAATCATCTGATGTTTCTGGGTATTTTCTAAATTTTTGGAGCGCATAAATTCCTTTTCAGAATTATATCAGATTTCATTTCATTTCATTTATTACATGGGGGGACCCATGTCAGTAACAAACAAATAACAGTCAAAGAAAACAATATCAA